CATTCTCAGCAGGGGTTCTAACCCACCGCACCCAAACACAAGAGCTAAAACAGAGACTCCCAGGTCAGGTTTCAAATGTCTCCAGGTGGGGCTGCATGGGGGCAGAGGAAGCTGATGGGGGTAGGGAGAGAGAGCAGGGGGCCTGTGCAATCCCATATGGCAGTGTTCAACCTCGGTAAGGACTTCTTCCTAACTGGCTGAAAGGTAATGAGCCATCCGACATGGGAGGCATACAAACCACCCTTGGTGGGAATTCCATCCGCTTAAGTAGCATGATGACCAAGTGATTCTCAAAAGGTCCCTTTATCCTCCCAGCATAAGGGATCCCTACTTGGGTGAATTAATTTCCCTGGGCTGCCGTAACAAAATACCTCAAACCGGGTGGTTTAAAACAACAGGAATTGATTGCTTCGAAGTTGTGGGGGCCAGAAGACCAAATTCAGGGTGCCTGCGGGGCCACGCACTCTCCGAAGGCTCTAGGGGAGGACCCTCCCTTGTCTTCTGCCCCGTCTGGTGGCTCCAGGTGTCCTTGGCTTGTGGGAGCATCCTTCGAATATCTGTGTCTGTCTTGCCCTGTGTCTCTGTCTCTCTGAGTCTCTTCTCTTTGATAAGGATTGGATTAGGGCCCTGTGTCTGTGTGTCTCTGCTTCTTCTAAAGCCCTCGGTCACGTAGGATTAGGACGCCCCCTCCTCCAGTGTGACCTCCTGTTAACCAATCATACACTAAAACCTGCGAACGCTGGAACATGTGGAAGATGGGAACCGGTCGGAGAAGAACTAAAATATTTTCCACTAAAAGGAGAGGGTGGAAAAGTGGTGAGGCTGCACCCGAGCAAGGAGAAAACGTGTGAGACCTGGAAAAACAAGGCAGTCCTGTCAGGATCCGGCTCTCACAGGTTTCGCCGTATCGGCAAAAACTCTATTTGCAAACAAGGTCACATTCACAGGTACCAGGGGGTTAGGACTTCAACAGGAATTTTTTGGGAGGACACAATTCAATCCGTAACAGTAAAAGGTCTTAGGAAGGCCTCAAAACTGTGGGACAGAGTGAGTGGATGTCCCAGATTCCAGCCTCTGCCCCCAAATCCCAGATGGAGTTAACGTACCCCCTACGAACACGAGGCCCCAAGCCCAGGGTCCATAGATATGCTTCAATCTTAATCCCTTTTGAAACCAGAAGAAAACAGTGAAGATAATAATAATGAATATGGAGTAATGAATCCAGACTGGATTATATTCGTCTTTATACCAGCTCAGTCATAAAACATAATTTGTAATATGCCTTTGAATTATGGCGTTGGCAAAGAATATTGAATATACCGAGGACTGCCAGAAGAAAGAACGAGTCTGTCTTGTAAGAAGTACAACCAGAATGCTTCTTAGAAGCAAGGATGGCGAGACTACATCTCACATACTTTGGACACATTATCAGGAGGGATCAGTCCCTGGAGAAGGACGTCATGCTTGGTAAAGTAGAGGGTCAGTGAAAAAGAGGAAGACCCTCCATGAGATGGATTGACACAGGGGCTGCAACAATGGGCTCAAGTATAGCCACGATTGTGAGGACGGCGCAGGACCGGGCAGTGTTTCGTTCTGTTGTACACGGGGTCGCTATGAGTCGGAACCAGCTTGCAGCACCTAACAACAGCAACAAATACTATTTCAACGGACGAAGGAGCCCCCAAAAGCAAAAGTGCCTCAGGTCTGCAAAAGTCACAATGAGGCCCAATACCAAGTTCATTCATTCAAAGAGCAAGTTATCACACTAATCTGTGCCTCAGTTTCTTCTTCTGTAAAATGGGGGTTATATGTAATAAATAGCACCTCTCCCCAACAGGGTCTTTGTGGGAGGCTTCAATGAGCTGGTGGCCGTGGAGACGCCTCTCAAACTGTTAAGAGCTGGGACCAGGTCAGGAACTGTGTAGTATTCAGCAAGACAAAGCAGAAGAGATTGTGGTTAGACTCCGGAGGGACTTCTGTGGTTCCTCCGCTCAGTCAGGAACTATTTGGTGAGTGTCGATTATGTGCCGCGGTGAACCAGGCAGACCCAGCCCTGGCCTTTCTGGGCTCCTGGTCCTTCGGGGAGAACAGCAAGAGAGAAAATGAATAAATACGAGATCATTTCAGATTGGGACAGGGCCTTAGGGAAATTAGAAAAGGAAGCTCTCTCTGAGGAGGTAACGTTGTGGCCTGATGGATCTCAACGGGGTAGAGGAGTAGCCTGTGCAAAGGCCCTGGGGCAGGGCCAGGCCTGTGAGTTGGAGGAAGAGTGAGGAGCCCCCTGTGGCTGGAGCAGAGTGAGCGAGGGGGAGAGGGAGGAGGGGAGGGCAGGGAGGGGACGGGCAGGTTGTGCAGGGCCCTGTGGGCCCAGGAGGACTTGATGTTGGAGACTAGAAGTCCTAGGGAGCCATGGAGGGCTGCGGGCAGAGGAGGGACAGGTTTTGATTCCTATTCTCAATCCCCACCATCTCCCCGAGTGGGTCCATGCGCCCGCCTGTGAGCGCCGCCCGCCGCCTGCCCCGCCTGTGCCCGGCG